CAACCTCTACTTTGTCGAGGAATCCTCGATGTCGGGTCATCCTGGTCCTCTTTTTTTAACACCTTGACGACAGCGCGGCAACTAGGTTTGCCGCGTTTTGCACGCCGCAATGGACATTGTGGCAACTATAGTTGCCACACCCTTTACATTCAGTTTTTTCTTGAACGCGCCATTTCTTCCCAGGTTTTTTGTGTTCATTTTTAGGCCATACCACAACATAACCAAGAACCACGCGGCTTATAGAATGACCAAATATTCTTTAGTTTGGCAGAGGTTTTTCGGACCGGACGAAAATATCCGTTCAGTTCATTCCTCATTTTCTCTTCATTAACACGAACATGTAGATAAAAAAGAATATTAGAAGTGAGTACAAAGCTACTCGTGTGGCAAGATATGTGTTTTTACCGAAACAACCACGTCCAAAATAATTTTGAAATCACTAAAGCAAAAGTAAGTGAAACTTGCCTTTTCAATGCTGTAACACATCATTCGACCGCACTTTCACATGTGTACCTTCCAATAAGTTTGACACACCGAATATCAGTGAAAACATTTTGTCGCATCGAAGTATTGCGTATTTAAAGCTCAAAATCCACAGATTTGTTGTGAGGCGGCGGCGCTCGCAAAATCGCTCTGGTCCCACGCGGCCAAAAATGCCAAAACGCGCGATGTCGTCAACGTGTTAAGGCGTATCGAGAGCTTCAATTTCGCATGTATAGCAGAGTCTTATCCGGAAGCCTAACCTTTGAATGATGCATAAAATTCGGCCAATCTTCTGGTGGTGGGAAGTCTGAGTAGGCCATCATTTCTTTGGACGTGTTCACAACAGTGCTCGCCATCACAGTGCCGCCAATCTGAAAATAGAAGCTTGTTTGTTCAGTCCGATGAGAGTTCTGAAATACTGCTTGAATCCTTCGAGGACTCAACGATTCAAAACGCACATTGTTCTGTCCAGGTCGATAGTTCCACAGGCCACCGAGGTCAGCTGTCTTCTCATAGCAGATCACTTCAATGCCCTGCTCCAGACATGCTTTTATGGAAGGGAGGCCGGAAACTCCAGCTCCGACCACGCATACCCTCATTCGCAAATCACTCTCGGATCTTTATTCTGAAATTGTTAAGCTATATTTGAAAATGCAAAAAAACATCTTTACGATTACGTTTGGCCAAAGGTATTGGTCACGATTAACGTTGTTTACGCGCGACCTGAGGCCGAGCACAGTAAGCCCCCGGCCGGGCATGAGTCCCCAAAACTCTACGTATCTACTTCGGTCGATGACGCAGTCCTCATGGTCAGGAATAGGGGAATGCGTCCAGAGATGTAGGTTTGGGGACCCATCACTGGCTGGAGCTTGCTGCACACGGCCTAGATTGCACGATTCTTCTCTTAATTAGAACAACGGCAGCATGGCTAGTCTCAACGGCACTCATTGTCACCCTTTCTATAAGCTAGCAGGAAAGCGATGCTCCAGCACGCGGTGGACAACATACAGGGTGGCCAAAAAAAGAGACACTTTGCCTATGGCGCACATCATCGAACTTTTTGTCGCACAGGGAGCCGATGTTAATGAGAGTTTTATGGCGGAATATTCCTAAGATGTTCCCACGTAAGCAGAAGTAGGCCCTTTTTCACTGCCTCCACCGTCTTCAAAATATGACGTCATCTGTTGTCACCGTCGAGCTCAACGAGCTTGCTGTAATCGCTCCGGCCTGAAGCTGCTACATGATTTCTTCAATTGATTAGATGGTGAATAACTTCTAGGAGACACTAGCTGTTACTGTGCAAGACCGCTTTTAAACCAGCGTTTCGGGGAGGTCGTAATGGCCTATGGTACATCGACGACCTCGTTGAGCTCGTACCGTGAACCATGTTTCCGTGGGAAAATCTTCTGATAGTCAGTGCAAAAGGCTGTCACGTGACATTTAGATAGATTAGAGTGTGCTCTTCAATACTAAGTTGGGTTCAGTCGATTTGATTCTAGCAAAGTGTGATTAATGCTGGCTGAACTTTGAAGTGAAGTGTCTCTTTTTTTGGCCACCCCTGTATATTTATGAGGCGGGGTGGAGGTGATGATTATCAAACTGTGATTCAAAGCTTGCATCTCACACCGGATTCCGCTGGCCGACCAAGCTACCAAAGCTACCAAAGCTGACTCATTTGGCTGGTACGATGCATGTCTAGGAAAGAGAAAAACGGTGGCGCGTCGGATGAGTCCACTGTCCTCTACTATTCACAGTGTACGCCAATGTGCGTTGAATACGTGGCGCACCCTTGAAGCGGTCAGTCAGCTTCGAATGCCGAACCCTTTGCTTCCACTGCTATTCGGGAGATCAGGTTTCTGAAGACAATAGGGTTGAGCCAGGAAACCAAGGAACAGAAGCAGGCTTCCATCGAGCTCTTTGACAATCATACCACTGGCTACCTCTAGCTGGTAGGAAAAATTTTCCACTATTTAGCTTTCTTCAATCTAGATTGAGTAAGCGCTCTAAAAGAACCGTTCTCAGAATAATGCAGGGATAGGAGAAGCAAGATAGGTTTCGATAGTAGCAGGGGAGGGTGAGATTCTGCAAGGAGTACAAACAGGAACAACAACCCTAGTACAGTGTGATGGTTTCTCCAAAATATAAACTATTATAGAAGAGCAATTTTCTAAATTTTGACAGGCATTTTGGACTTGTGAGATGGCCGTGCAGCGGCACAGCACGGCGGAGCCCCTCTCGGATTAGGTAAGCTTCCAACGCAAGATCACTTTAGTAGGCCAGGCAAGCCGTAGTAACAAGATCCTTGACTATAGCTTCGACTGGTCTACGACAGGACCCACTTTATACCAGGCTATCATAATTTCGTGCGAGTGTCTTCAGGATCTTATTGGAAATTGCATATATCGCCGCATTCTGAAGTGGCAGATTGAATGCGAGCCCTACATTCCATCCTGACCACATTCTTCTTTTTTAGTCATGCACAGAGAGTAGTGTCGTATCGGCCAATAGCATAGAGATTACTTTTCGTTGTATGTAATTGTATTGTAATTCCATTCGAAATAACACCGTCGCTACGGATGTTGCAGTAGCTGGTGGAACTGCTTAGTGTATGGTGGGATCAATTACTCATTACTAGACCATAAGATCGTGCCAATATGGACCTACGAGACATTCCATCCCTTCTGGGTCGCTTGATTGGTTCTGCATTATCTGTGTGGATAAAAAGCCTAGTTGTAAATCAGTGTCCTCTCAAGTCATCAAATGGGGCGACGCAATTGCAACGCTCAAACTATTCTGAATAGGAGTGTGATGCGTGACGAATTCCGAAAAGCACTTAATGTTTATGGAATAATTCTCATCATTACCGTATGCCCCGTTACTAAAACAGAATTTAGTGCAAATATACAAAAAATTTGCATTACAGTAACGCCCATAAGGTTAGGAAATCAGCCTTGGGAAACAACACGGATGATGTAACCATGGCAGCCACCAACGACCTAAAGAAGACTATTTTAAGGGTAGACTATTTCTGGCAAAGCAGGTCGGTGCCGAACTAAAAGGTTACTGTACGCCAATGTTGGGGTTCGCCCTGTTTTTATGTTATATGTATATGCAGTTGAAGAGCACATTCGAATCTGTTAAATAGCTGGCCTACACGGACAACAGCAGAAGAGCCACGGAAACAGGGCGCTCGTTCCTCTGAAGATGGCGAGCGCAACGAATGAGGGTTGCTTCTCCTTATAGCAGCAACAACAGATCAAATTAGTGGGCTACCAGCGGCCAATAATGAATTATGGATGCAGAGTTGAGTGAAAATTAAAGAAGCAAAACGGCCGCCGATAAGGCCCACAAACTCCCTCTCTTGCCCCTCACAAGGCGGGAGGGGCGGTCCGGACGAGTTGTCCAAACTTGATTTCTTTGTGGCTCCACTAACCCGCGCGTATTTGAATTAGCCGCTACATCGTAATCCACGTTGCGTGTCATGGGTGTGAGCGAGGTATCTCGTCCATTAGCTCACATTTCGTTATTAGCTCAGTTGGTAAGGCCCTAACCCATTGTCGCGCACCTTCAAACCGCGGCAACAGTACAGCTGTGATACGCGGTCTACTCTATCCTTCCCACCATATCTTGTTCGACACAACCTCATCTGGGGTTGTATTCGACAATTCCTAAGACAAAAAGTTTGCTGCTTTGTGCTACAAGTGTGAAGACCTTCTGTTTCAAACCCCTCCCCCCACATATAAAGGATAAAGGATAAAGCATTTGCCGTTGATCAATCCCTTTTTGGGATGCGGCACGCATTCTACTTCCATTTGTACATTCGTAGTGGCGTTTGAATGCGATGTGGCCTATACAATGACTTGCGGGGGCCAGCCGATGTACAAGTCAGTGTTTTTATCCTCCCAGACAAGTCTGGTACCAATTAACCGACCCCGGAGGGATGGAAGGCTTGGTTGGCCCGGGCGACTCACGACCCAGGATTTGATCCCCGGACCGCTCGCGTGGTAAGCGTGCCACTTGCCACTACACCACTTCCGCCCCCATATATTGATAAATTTCTTTGGTAAACGTAACAGCAGCACAGCGAATTTTCTTAGGTCAAAGTTTGAGAAGTGTATCGAGGTGAAAGAAGAATATACAAAAAACACAAAATTTCTAGACAAGAGTGCTGATGGAATGGCCGAAACAACTTGCTTGGCCGGGAGAAAGCGACCTCGTGTGGATTCAGACCCAGATCCGCTTCCCGACTGGGGAAAATTCCTTGCTCACAACTCTCATGTCAACACGAACTGCTGCGAAACAGCAGTAGTCTAAAGGCTATTCTCTTTTCACACTCCTACCTACTCTATTTTTTTTATTTAAAAACAGAGAACTTTTGTCCAACCCTCGCATACAAAATTTGCGCGAGACCATGAACCAGTCATCAAGTGACGGAGATCTAGGCCAATTGAAGTAGTTTAGCGCATTTTAGGGGCCCTACTTAATACACTGGTCTCCTTCAACAATGCGGTCACTTTCGTTCGAGGTCACCTCTCAAAATTTATGACGATTCATAGTAGCTTGGTTTCAGTTTTACTTTGACCCATCTTCTAAGGTTTAGTTATACAATTTATATTTTAGAAAATTCAGTCGAATTAATCGGAAGTCTAGACTTCAAAATACAGGGGGGGGGCAATAAAAAAAAGACATTTTGTCTCCACTTCCAGATGGATTTAAGCACATTTTGCTCAATTCAGACCGAATGGTTCCCAACTTATTATTAAAGAGCGCATTCCATTCTATAAGAAAATCTTTATGGTGGCCACCTACGTGGACGGCATCAGAAGAATTTGCCCTGGAAACATGGTGCACTGGTCGAGCTCAATGGGGTCTTCGAAGGATCGTGTACCATAACGACCCTTACTGGAAAGCTAGTTTCCGAGGGGATTTGCACAGTGGTAGCTAATGCCTCTAGAAAACTATCCAACATTAAATCGATTCACGAAATTGCGTAAGAGCTTCAGGCTGAAGCTCTTACGGTAGACCTCCTTGAGCCTGACGACGGTGACAGATGACGTCATATTCTGAAGACGGTGAGGGCAGTGAAGGAGGGCCTGCGTTCACTTATAGAGGGACACTTAGGGAATACTCTGCTGAGGAACTCCCGTCAACGACAGCAATCTCTGCGAAGAAAAAAGGGCCGAAGTCCGACATAGGCAAAATGTCTTTTTTTTTGCCCCCCCCCCCCTATATCGGATTTCAAAGAAATACCAAGCGCAATGGTTGTTGTTCAAAGCAAAGTGGATGTATTCCGGTCGAAAAATTGAAACAGACGATGGAAAAGATGCTTGAATAAGGTGAAATAATTCTTGTCACGATACCGGACCAGCTGATGCGAAGTTGGTAAATATAGCGTAACGATGGTTCATCTTAAACCTATTCTGTGTACAAGGGCTATACATA